CCGACAGGCAGGCACAGCTACTTCTATAAAGACACACACAGCTGTCAGCCGGGTGAGGCAGGTGCAGGGATGGGGAGTGGAGGGGCACAGAAGCATTTTTGTGTAGTGGGACAGGGAGTAGAGATAAGGAAGGGAACTTAGAATTTAAATGTGCAATTGTGTTCACAGATGACAAAGAAAATTAAAAAACTGGAAAAAGAAACAATAATATGGCGTACCAAATGGGAAAACAATAATAAAGCACTTCTGCAAATGGCTGAAGAGGTGAGATGGTTTCCTGCGACTAAAGTGTAGTCTTAGTCATGGGGACTCCTTGAGTTCAGGTATCTATCTGGGCCGGGGACGTGTGCTCTAACACTACTGCCATAGCTGAGGACTCCAGCCCGAGTTGGGGCGGGGGTGGGGTTGAGTTGCTGGGTAAGAATCTGTGACTTCCTTCCTAGAAGTTAGGTTAGGGACAGGGCCCCAAGTGAGGGGCTGAGCTTCCTAACACCCAGTTAACCAGCCCAGGCTTGTGTCGGAGATAGCATAAAACGTCTAGATTTTGCTTTTTTTCTACAGCAGTGATTTTTCAAACTTGAGCTTGCATCAAACTCCCGCTTGTTAAGACCAGGATTGCTGGGCTCCACCCGGAGGCTCTGAGTCACTAGTCCTCGGGGGCGGAGGCAGGTAATCTGCCTTTCTAAAAAGCATGCAGGTGATGCTGATGCAGCATGTAGGGCCTTTCTAGCTTGACTTACTAGGCTTTCAAAAAAGCAACAAAGTGCATTTTGCCTGTTTTATTATAACACTTCAGGAAAGAATATGCTGGGGCACATGTGTACAAGAACCTTGTTCTCGGCTGGGCGCAGTGGCTCACGCCTGTAATCCCAGTACTTTGGGAGGCTGAGGCGGGCAGATCACGAGGCCAAGAGATCGAGACCTTCCTGGCCAACATGGTGAAACCCCATCTCTCCTAAAAATACAAAAATTAGCTGGGTGTGGTGGTGCATGCCTATAATCCCAGCTACTCAGAAGGCTGAGGCAGGAGAATTGCTTGAACCTGGGGGGCGGAGGTTGCAGTGAGCCGAGACTGCACCACTGCACTCCAGCCTGGGCGACAGAGCAAGACTCTGTCTCAGAAAAAAAAAAGTCGTCTTCTCATCTAAAAATTGGTAGAGGAGAAATCTATGTAGAAGTGAGTCATGTTCTGTATGTAGGCTTTTGTGTCTGCTAGTCTTTATGATGAATATCTTGAATTTCCTAATAGTTCAATAGGAAATGTCTTAAAAAGTTTATCTTTGGCTCACGCCTGTAATACCAGCACTGTGGGAGGCCGAGGCAGAGAGATCACGAGGTCAGGAGATCAAGACCATCCTGGCCAACATGGTGAAACCCCGTCTCTACTAAAAATACAAAAATTAGCTGAGCGTGGTGGCGCTTGCCTATAATCCCAGCTACTCGGGAGGCTGAGGCAGGAGAATCACTTCAACCCAGGAGGTGGAGGTTGCAGTGAGCCAAGATCACGCCACTGCACTCCAACCTGGCAACAGAGCGAGACTCCATCTCAAAAAAAAAATAAAAGTGACAAAAGGAATTTAATTTTGTCCCCCTGAAACAGTATCATGGTGCTAAATCTCATTTGGTATACTTAGTTATGGGTGCAGTCACGCTAGCTAGCTAGAATGTTAGGAGGCTGAAAAGATGGAACACGTTCCATAGGTGAGAAGTGTCCAATAAGGCTCAGCTGGCTTAATTTTGTTGTAACCTGATTGATGCTTAACAAAGTTACAGAAATCCTCTTTTTTCTTACAGAAAACAGTCCGTGATAAAGAGTACAAGGCCCTTCAAATAAAACTGGAACGGTTAGAGAAGCTGTGCAGGGCTCTTCAAACAGAAAGGAACGAGCTCAATGAGAAGGTAGAAGTCCTGAAAGAGCAGGTATCCCTCAAAGCGGCTGACAGGGATTTAGCAACACCTGTGATACAGCCCTGTGCTGCTCTGGATTCTCACAAGGAGCTGAACACTTCCTCGAAAAGAGCCCTGGGAGCGTACCTGGAGGCCGAGTCCAAGAGCCAGAGAAGCGCCGTGCAAAAGCCCCCGTCCACAGGCTCTGCTCCGGCCATTGAGTCGGTTGACTAAGATGAGGTGTGATCACTGTATTGAGAGATATATTTTGTGTATAACTTTCTCTGTTAGTAGTTAACTATTGGTTTTGTGGTGAAAATTTTCTTACTTTTTCTACCATATCTGTATTTTCTTAGAACTACTGGACTTACGTGGTACAGGAGGCTGCTTAGCAGTTTTGAATAGTTTAATCTATAAATTTTCCTCGGCTGTGTTGCACATCAGCCTCATTCTCTCTCCACTGGAATGCATGTGTTCATTGCCTTGTCCTTTCTCTCCCTGCTACTTGCACATTATCATCCTAATGAAAATTTCACTGACAGGGCCGACCATTACAAGGGAACTTTGTTCTGATGATGGTTCCTTAATGTGAAAACAATATTAATTTAAACGTCTTAGGTTCCCCCCCAATTAATATTATTCAAAAAAAGAAAATACCAAGGTGATTAGTTTTGTCTAATAACCCATTTAAATGCCAAGTAAAAATAAAACTCTAATGTTGGGTCAGAAGCAAGCATATTTGACTGAAATTAGCTTTTTGAAAATATATCTTGGGACAAATTGAGATGGCCACATGGCTAGAATCCAAGTTTCAGCAGAATATGTATATAAAGATGTCACTTGTTGACAAAATAGTATATGCAGGCAAATCACTAGACAAATAAGCTTAGTGTTTATGTGACTGAACAGTCATCCCGCTTTGGTTTCAGGTGTGGGATTTGGACCATGAGGGGCTCCTGTAGAGGATGGCGGTTTGTGTTTGATTCTGATTTGAGATTTGAGTACATATTCTCCACTTCCCACACAGAAGGTCACTTATTCTTTGAAAACTGGTGTTCATGTTTGCTGTTCAATGAAGTCCCTTGTCAAAGACAAGGATGGTCAATTCACGTGTAGCTTTCACTAGGCAGAAGTTTCTCCAATACTTTCTGGCTACTTGAAAGCTATTACAAAAGTTCCACCAGCAAAATACTCCAGGTTTTTCAAAAGGGAATTTTCATTATGGATCAGTAGTACCAACTGAAATTGATTTTCATTTGCAAAGCAAACACTGGCACCAACATTTTTACTTTGGGAAGACTTGGCAGAGTGTTAGTCAGGATCTATTACTTATGTGTTCAGTCTGTTTCTCACCCCCTTCTTAGTTACCATCTCTTTTTTTAAGAAGGAAAAAAAAGCCACAGTATTATCAAGGTCTCTACACTTGGAATGGGGGAACATTTGAAATTAAGCACGTAACTTTTGAATTAGTTCTTTGTTTCAATGTTGAATGTGGCTCAGTTATGCAGATGATTAATCAGGCTGCACTGATGGAAGTTTTGACTTTGTCCCTGCTTTAATTTGCATTGAAATGCTTTATGAAATAAAAGGTTCTACTAGAACTGATGTTAGCACATTCCACTGAGCAAAACTATCAGACTGACACTTGTTAAATTGCTTACTGGACTGAATAAACTCTGTTTTGTCCAGTTAAAAGGGTTTTCTCTTTGTTACAAGTTTTATTTGTAAAGTCCTGTCACATTCATGGTCTAAACTGGGTTGAAAGAATTGAAAATTGTCCAATAGATAGGAAACCGCCTGGAGTGGAGGGTTGTATCTAAGCCTCCACCATCAGTCATGTTAATTCAAGGGGCCAAACAGTGGAGGAAAAGAAATCCACAAAGTAGACTATCTAATTACCATTCAAAATGAGTCAGAAACAAAAAACAATACCCTCCAACAGCCTCTTATGAGTATACCCCGTTCTGCTACTAAAGAAATACTAGGCTCATTTCCCTGGGTGGGTGGGTGGGGGGGAAATGCAGGTATAGATCAGAAATATAATCTACCTTAAAATTAGTACTAATGATCACATTTCACAAGAACTCTGCTGGATGTACAGCTCTTAACATTTTATTAAGCCATTTGTGTAGCCCACCACATTTCTTTGTGGTGCTTGTCCTGTGTGGAAGATTGTCAATCTTCGGCCTGTTGCATACTTCCAAGGGCTTTAAAGCAATGTGATTAACCGTACTTGGCCTGCTGCTTTTGGCTTACTTTGTATTTTTAGCTAGATGCTACTGTAGTCTTGAAAGGATATGGATTCTGTCTGGGATGCATCTGTTCCTTTCAGAACCCTTCCTCCCATTACCCTGTGAATAAAAACAAATGGGGACCCTCTGAGAAGGACATCCTCCTACAGTGATCACCTCACCAGCCCAGTGTTGTGGCTTTGTAGCACACCCCCTATCTATCATATTCTAGAACACTGTAATGCTACTAGGCTGGCCCAGAAAAGGTTTAAATGTTGAATTCACTTAAGTTGCATTTGTTGCACCATCATGGAATCATGATGTGTATTATTTATAGTGGCAGTAGACTCCAAGGTGTAGAGAAAACTTGGGTCTTGGGTAACATGGACCATTTCATCCTCAGACTTGTTAGGAGTACATTTCTTGGTCTTGAGACCAGTATTTTTCAGTTATGTATGCAACTGCCTTTATTACACCTGGTTATCACAATTCAATTCTCAGGTGTTGCAGAAAAATCTACCTCTTTCAGACTGTAGATGGAAATAACTGTGAAAAAATGATGCAGATATCTTCTAGTTTGTGCTAAACACACTGCTTTATTTTTACAGCCCACGTCTTTCATTGAGGATACGAATTGTTAAGAGGCAGTCTTGTTTTGCTTTTCAAAGACATTTTGTAGAGATTTTTCACTAATGTGAATCTGATTTTATCTACTTGATTCTGTATAGATTAAGTAAATATGTATGATAAACTTAACAGCTTCTGTGTATTCTTTTATTATCCATGTGGCCTTAACTGTACGAGTCCAAAGGTACCATTTTACCCATTTCTACTCAAAAAGCAGACCCCACCCCCGCCCCCAAGCTTCTAAAAACACACAAGTTTTATTTTAAAACTTTATTTCTGCAAAGCCAATCAAGAAGTGTTGGAAGGAAAAAGTGTAAAAGTTATTCTTGCATATTTGGGAACAGCAAGCACTTAGTTTGAGAAAATGAGGACTTAAAACAGTTGAATCAAAGGCAATACCCTGCTACTTGTATTTAAAATCAATGATGTTCTTTCTTAAGTAACATTCTTCTCTTCCCTAATAGCTACAATATGATACAGTACGCAACAGCTCACTTGAAAGTGCTAGAATCAGAGGATAAAGAAGCCATAAGCCAACCCACTTAACATTTCCTACTATACAATGCCTTTTTGGCGCTTGACAAATCAAGCATTCATGTAGCATTACATTCAACAGAAACATCTCTCATACTTTGGGTTTAAGATCCTTGTCCCTCCAGTTCGGATGTCGTGACATCTGACTCTTCATCGTTGTAAATATTTTCAGCCTGGAGATAACCAAATAAATTCACAGGTGTAAAAACTCCCTATGGTTTTCACAAGGTCATCTAAAAACAATTTAATCTATTTAAAACTTACTAGTTTCACTTTTACATTTCTTTCTAAAAGCTTCAATAAGGAAATGGCAGGCTAGCCAGTATTTTGAAAAATTCTTTGCCAGTGTGTAATTCCACATGTATACTTAGCCACCCATCCATGCACTAATTTCAATCACTGTTCATAAGAGAGGTTTTCCAAAAGCACTTCAAGCATCGTTTAGAGGAAGTGGTAGCCCAGATGTTATGGAAGTCTCAGTTAACACCTTAGAAATGTCAAGTACTCAGTGCTCATCCTCAGAGAACTTGGTGTCATTTGAATGCCTTGACATCTCCTTCCCGTATCCCTCATATCTACCACACAGAACAGACACTGGAGACAGAGCAGCGATGCCAAGACTCCAGTGTATGAAGAGCGCAACAACAATGAAAATCAGTGCAGATGCAGAGATTTCTCCTGACCTGACAGGTACTACAAATAGCAAACAGTGGACGAAGCACCATATGGGACTAAAGATTGTATTGTTGAAATGGAAAAAGTTCTTTTAAACTGTTTCTGTAAATGTTTGGCATAATATGCACCTACATATTCGAAATAACTTTATTACATTATGTAACTAGTAAATCTCTACAAGATAGTCATTCAAGAAAAACATTTTAACTCACCATTTGCCATATCTGCATGATGTTATCCTCAGACACTGAGCAAATGACCCAAGGCTCATTGGGGTTCCAGCTAAAATCTGAAATCTTAGCAGTGTGTCCTCCATGAATAAACTGTTACAAGAACAAAAAAAACTTTGGTTTCATATACTCTCCTGTTAATCCTAATAAAGATTTTAAAAAGTCTTTAGAGCATCAGTATTTCAACTGGGGGTGGGTGCTGTCTGGTTTTGAAGAGAGGGTGGTACAGGCTCAGTAATCTATACCTGTTTTGCAAATTTCCAAACCTCCAGAAAAGGTGACAGAATATAGTACAATGGATACCTGTATACCCTTTACCTAGATTCAACAAGTACTAATAGCATAACCGATGCTTTATCCACGTGTCTATACAATGAAATGGCTGAATACTTCAGCCTGCATCCCTTAAGAATGAGGACATTTTCCTATATAATCAAAATGCCATTTCCATACTGATTATGATGAACATTAATCTAGCATCATTTGCTCATAAACAGTTACGTGCAAATATCTAAGGTAATCAATCCATTATATGCCATGTAACATACTCTTCTATTATACAAGGGGCCTGAGGAGTCTTCTGGTTCTTCCCCTCTGCACTTTACTAAGATAGGCATACTTCTTGCCCATCTTTCCAAGGTACACAAACAGCACCAGGGTGAAAGAAAAATCCCTGGCTCCAAAAGCATAGCTCCAGATAGTCCCTCATAAGTTATGCCTAAGGTGAGACAGCTTTGCTAAACAATTCTGAAGAAAGCAGTTGTTCCCTGAAAGAGACAACCTCATGGGAAGGCACTATGCCTTATTTATCTTAGAATTAAGACTTAAATGAAACAGTTCTTCACAAGGATAGTATTAAATACATTGCTTGGAATTGGGACATCACACTTTCTGACAAAGTCTGATTTGACTCTAGTTTAACAATGAGGTCCCTGCCTGCCGACAACTATGTCTTATGCAATATATCTATTTTACCGAATAATCTTATCAGGTTAAAAATATGAGGTGGGGCTGGGTAAAACTCAACGCCTGTAATCCCAGCACTTTGGGAGGCCAAGGCAGGCGGATGGCTCAGGCTCAGGAGTTCAAGACCAGCCTGGGCAACATGACAAAACCCTGTCTACAAAAAATATGAAAATTAGCCGGGCATGGTGGGGTGTGCCTGTAGTCCCAGCTACAAACTGGGAGGAGGAGGTTGAAACTGGGAGGTGGAGGTTGAGTGAGCTAAGACTGCGCCACTGCACTCCAGCCTGGGTGACAGAACCAGACCTTGACTTTAAAAAAAAAAAAAAGGTAAACAGCTTTTTAAAGTACTCTTAAGGGGTACACAAGTGAATATATTGGCTGGGTGCGGTGGCTCATGCCTGTAATCCCACCACTTTGGGAGGCTGAGGCAGGTGGATCACGAGGTCAAGAGACCGAGACCATCCTGGCCAACATGGTGAAACCCCATCTCTACTAAAAACACTAAAATTAGCTGGACACGGTGGTGTGCACCTGTAGTCTCAGCTACTCGGGAGGCTGAGGCAGGAGAATCGCTTGAACCCGGGAGTCGGAGGTTGCGGTGAGGGGAGATCGTGCCACTGCACTCCAGCCTGGGCGACAAAGCGACTCCTCTTAAGGGGTACACAACTGAATATATTTTAAGATCACTGGGGCTTAGAATACATACAGGAGTTATCAAAGCATACTGGTGGAATAGTTCACTACTTTCTTTTTGGGACCGGGTCTCACTCCCATTGCTCAGGCTGGAGTGCAGTGGTGTCATCATGGCTCACTGCAGCCTCAACTTCCCCGGGCTCAGGTTTCTCCTACCTCAGTCTCCCGAGTAGCTGGGACTATAGGCACACGCCACCACGCCTGGCTAATTTTAATTTATGTATTTTTTTTTTTGGTAGAGACAGGGTTTTGCCATGTTTCCCAGCCTGGTCTTGAACTTTTGGGCCCACGTGATCCACCCACCTTGGCCTCCCAAAGTGCTGGGATTCCAGGCAGGAGCCACCATGCCCAGGCCCAGTTTAATTCTCTCAAATGTCCCTTGATTTCAAGCTTTCTTGTGAAAAACAAAATCCTAGTGTATTTTCTCAAGCACCTTGGAATTGTTGCAGAGCCATAATATACAAAGTAATACGCTTTCCTTTCTCCCTAAAAAAATTGCTGGAGACCTTGAAAACACTGTACTATGTGAAAGAATCACTCCCAAAAGACAAAAGTCACATTTACATGAAATATCTAGAATAGCCCAAACCTATAGTGCCAGAAAGTCTCGTAGTAGTTGCCAAGGGCTGGAGGAAGAAGCGAATTCAGAGGTGATAGCCACAGTTTCTTTTGGAGGGTATGAATAATGTTCCAGAATTGATTTGTGGTGATGGTTGTACAAGTCTATGAATATACTAAAAACCACTGCCTTCAAGAACAAAAAAAGGAGGAAAAAAATCCCCCAAAACCCAAGAACACCCCCTCCCCACTGAACTGTACACTTTAAAGAGGTGAACTGTGTAGTATGTAAATTATATCTCAGCAAAGCTGTCATCAAAACAAAAGGGACTGGGGCATTCTTACAAGGTGGGCTTAGTGAACATCTTCTGTGTGCAGGGCTTGCTCTCAAGGGCCTTCTTTACCTTTGAAAATGTGTGGACATTCAATACAATCCATAGGTTCAGACAAAAAATAAATAAAACTCATGGACAAAGTACAAGTGTGCCAAAATGAGTACTGGCATTAGAACTAAAATCATAAATGACAAGTGTGATGAGTGACTATCTGCCAAATGATAGGAGGAGACAAATGTTAGCTTCAGAGCAAGGACAAGGAACCATTGCTAAATCTGGCAATGTTTCACAGAAAAATGACGAAGTGAGCACTGAAGGACTCAGACGGGAAGAATGAGGATGGGCAGATACCACCATAGAAGCTTTCAAAAGGCCAAGGAGATGCATGTGCTTCAATTGGGCATGGGAGGGAGGTAGTGGGCTCTGCTAGCATCAAGATCGAGAAAGCCCTCCTTTTCTGGGCAGGAAACTTAAAAAGCATTTAAAATTTTTTCTATGCTGTTAGGAAATGTTAAGTATTGTCAACTGAATAGCAGTTATACTCACTCCCCATCCCCAAACCATCACAAATACCAGAGTTGAAATCAGTGAAAAATCACTACACACTATTTTCCAGGACCTCAAACCATTCCCAGTGAAACATTCATAAAAACCTACTGGGCACCATTTACTATTTTTGATAAATGTCAAAGCCCAATCGCAATAACCTTCAGGACCTCCATTTTGAAACCATCTGCAAGAGCTAGAATTTGAAGTTCTGACTCATTCTCGAAATAAACGGATCAATGACAATCCAATCTGCATATGGCATTTCATCTTCTATAAGCCAATGCGTACCAGGAGTTCTGGAGGCCCATCTTCTGCATCTTCTGCTGATTGTTCTTCCCCAATTTTACTGTAAGAATAAAGAATATAACGCTTTCATCAGTGACATTCTTGTAGCACGAACATCTGCTAAACCAGTATCAGCCCAGAAAGTAATCTTAAAACACAAACACACTCACAAAAATAACTTATTTCTATACTACAATCAATTAGGTTTTTTTTCTTTTTCCTTAGAGACATGGCCTCTCTGTTTCCCAGGCTGCAGTGCAGTGGCTATTCATTCACAGGCACGATCACTGTGCACTAGAGCCTTGAACTCCTGGGCTCAAAAGCGATCCTCTCGCCTCGGCCTCACCACACCTGGCTACTGTTTATATTTCGTGTAAAGGTGGAATGTTTACTTTCTGGAAATTAAAAGTTAGAGTTGTTCATAATTAAAGCTGCAGAATGAGGAATTATTGTCAATAATAAACAACTCAAAATCCCTTCATTATTTTAACTATTTATTGCCTTAGAACTAAAAGGTGAAATGTATAGTTAAAAAAATCTACACATGAACTGACGTGTAATTCCTATACTTCACTCAAAAGCCTTTTGCATCCCAGGAGTAAAATATAATTACATATCAGTACTATAGATCTGTCTAAAGATATGGCAATAAAACTTTACGCAATGTGTAAGCCAAGGAAAGGTTTTTAAGGTTTTTCTCTTAAAAACTTCAATTTGTAGAATTTGCCAGTGCTCAACAGTGGAATCACTCTTTATATATCAGTATCAGCCCTATCCTTTTACCTAACCCAAAGACTTTACTAGTAACAACTGCTAAAAAACAAAACCCAGCCCTCCAAGTGAGACATTTTTTTCCTTCCCATAAAATTAACCAAACAATCTCAAACCTGTGGGATTGCTAGACAATTATATTTCTCTTCCACCTGTCAGTACAGTTGCTAACACTCACCCATTTTAATCCCAAATTTTACCTAATATTTTTAAATTTTTTGTAGAGACAGGGTCTATGTTGCCCAGGCTGGTTTCGAACTCCTGGGTTCAAGCGATCCTCCTGCTTCAGCCTCACAAAGTACCGGGATTATAGACATAAGCCGCTATGCCTGGCCCCCTATCTAATGTAATTTTAATATTAAACAAGCTAAGAAATAATTGTAATAAGAAATTACACACAATGGTCACAAATTATTGGCACCTTCAGGGGCAATTCAGTTGCCAGGGCATCAGACTTCCAAACCTTACTGTACACTTCATACAACCTCTTTATAGTTTTGATTTAGGTTTTTTTATTTTACTACTAAAATTGTTTTTAAATCAAATACAATGCCCGAACTGTCTGCTTTAAAGGTTTTCTACATCTTCAAGTATTTATCACGGCAAGAGTTTGCTCCATCAGAACCCTGAATATTAGTCATTTTAAGTTTTATATACAAGCATTTTATTCTCCAGTGTCTCTTCTATATACTGAGAATTACTGCCTCTGTAATTAAGGTAGCCTTGGTTTTAATATACAGGTTGAGGATCCCAAATCCAAAATGTTACAAAATCCAAAACTTTAAGCACCACACGACACTCAGAATTTGGACTTTCACACCGAGTGCAATGGCTCATGCCTGTAATCCCAGCACTTTGGGAGGCCAAGGCGGGAGAATCACTTGGAGTCAGGAGTTTGAGACCAGCCTGGCCAATATGGCAAAGCCTTTTTTTTTTTTTTTTTTAAATAAAAAATACAAAACCAGGCATGGTGGCTGTGGCAGTGCCTGTAGACCCAGCTCCTCAAGAAGCTGAGGCACGAGAACCGCTTGAACCTGGGAGACAGAGGTTACAGTGAGCCAAGATTGTGCCACTGCACTCCAGCCTGCGTGATAGAGCAAGATTCAGTCTCAAAAAAAAAAAAAAAAAAAAAAAAAAGCAGAGGAAGAATAATTTGGACTTTCAGTTCAGATTTGAGACGCTCAACCAGTTAAGTATAATGCAAATATTCCGAAATCCTAAAAATTCCAAAATCCCAAACACTTCTTATTCCAAGTATTTTGGATAAGGGATACTCAACCTGTACTAAATTCAGTCCACTTCAAAGCAATATATTTAATACAAGCAGAAAATAAGTTATTTTTTGGTAATTTAATGATTTAAACTTAAGATGACATCTTATGGAGAAGTATGTAACTGAGCAACTTTATTAAGTTGTAAAGGCTCAGATGAAAAAAGTAAAGGAGTCTAAAATTCTTAGAACAGCAAGCTGAAGTAAAGGAACTTTTAAAAATTGGGAGAAACTCTTTATACAATGAGGCCCCAGAGAACATAAGCTCTCTGACAGCTTGGGCTGTCCTTGTCCCCTTCACAAAGGTCTCCCCGGCAGTTATACAACCCACAGCGGGAGTGCACATCTGCAGAATGAATCACTGAAAGCAAAGTAAATGGTACAAAAACTCAGAATAAACAGTCTTGCCTACATGTACTATGAGATCCAGTGAGACATAAAATAGCTAACATCTTGATCTCTCAAGTGTTTTAAATACAGTCATTTGAATGCAAAAACAGACAGACACATACACCTTCATGCCTGAATATTAAGAGACAAAACTCACACCAGAGAAATTTATTTTATAGTTCATTTGCTGCTTCACTTCCATTTTACAAAACAAAGACTCTTTAGGAAGATACTTAAAAGTTTCTTTAATATTAGGTTTCTTGAAGGTGGATTACCAAATTGCTTTTCTAGTTTATGAATTACTATGTAACTTGCCAGATGAGCATATTTATGCAGTATCTTGTCACGGGACTGTAAGTTACCTTAAATCCCACACATTCAGGCGGCGGTCAGTACCACTTGAAGCCAGAATAGTTTCATTATGTGGAGACCAGTGGACCTAGTAATAGATAATTTTGAAAATGTATTTAAAGAATCATCCGCTGCTAGGTTTGTGGCTGCTGTTTTAATCTTGTATTTTCCCATCTTGTGCTCTATGATCTTATCCTTGGCCTGATGTCCTCTCTCTCTTGTCCCGTTCTTTTTTTTTTTTTTTTTTTTTTTGAGACGGAGTCTCGCTCTGCCACCCAGGCTGGAGTGCAGTGGCCGGATCTCAGCTCACTGCAAGCTCCGCCTCCCGGGTTCACGCCATTCTCCTGCCTCAGCCTCCCGAGTAGCTGGGACTACAGGCGCCCGCCACCTCGCCCGGCTAGTTTTTTCATATTTTTTAGTAGAGACGGGGTTTCACCGTGTCAGCCAGGATGGTCTCGATCTCCTGACCTCATGATCCGCCCATCTCGGCCTCCCAAAGTGCTGGGATTACAGGCTTGAGCCACCGCGCCCGGCCTGTCCCGGACTTTCAAGTGCTCTGAAAGGGCTCAGCTCCATCCTGTCCTCAGGAAGGCTGCACTCCCCAGCACTAAGGAACTCAGCCTGGGATTTCAATAAATTTATTCAACCCCATAACCATCCCACAAGCTTTTTAATTCTTCAATAAGGTGTACCTTACCCTATGAATATCTCCATGTAACACCATGGACAAGGCATTTTTTTCAATAGTGGACCCACCAGTCTGGTATAGCTTAACTGATGAATCCCTGGATTTCATTTCTTGACATACAGACACCAGAAAACTGTCACATACCTGGAAAATTTCATCTTTATGAGATTCGAAGGTATGGAGTTTTAATTTTAAGTTACGCAGATCCCATAAAGCTACGGTCTAAAAAAAATAACAAGTGAAAATGATTTCTATGCTTTACCTAACAATTTTCAAATATCTGATTAAAGCACAAGAGAACTGGGTTTTATAAACACCAAATAATGCAAAACCTTATCCGCAGAGCCGGTGGCTAGAATAAATTCGCTGTAGGGATTGAATGAGAGGCAGTTGACTTCGGCAGTGTGCGCATCCACCAAGTGGCTCGGCTTGGAGGTGGTATTGGACCTGGTGTCCCATCTAAAACACAAAGGTAAAGTCACACAGCACCCAGGGAGGACACACTCACATTTGGCCCCACGTCACTGTCACTACACTCCACAACTAGCTCCACTATGTGAGCCCCTTCATGAGGAAACCAACCACACAGCTGGTGATTCAGACCTTGACCACTAAATATACATTCAAAACCTTCAGAGAACAAGCTAGGGCTGTTAGTTCTGTTTTTTAAATTAGATTCCTATTTTAATTACCAGCTACTTCAAGCATACACAAAATACAGACTATGTAGAGAATAATGTTAACAATCTGATACCTACAACTGGTTTTGACAAATGCCCAGTATTTTGTCACATTTGCCTCAGGTTATTTGTTTATAAGATTATAGGTGAATGAAGCCCTGTGGCCATACCTTGATGCAATCATTTTCCTCCCTGACCTCCAACTGGCATCACTCTGGATTCCAATCTTGATATTTACCACCACACCAAGTATATTCCTTCACATGTCCATACCTATTTTTTTTTTTTCTAAATAATAAGCAATCCTCCCACTTCAGCCTCCTGAGTAGCTAGGACTACAGGTGCACACTATCATACCTAGCTAATTTTTTGTTTTTAAATTTTGTGTAGAGACGGAGTCTCACACTCCTGGTCTCAAGCAATCCTTCTGCCTCAGCTTCCCAAGGTGTTGGGATTACAGGAGTAAGCTACCTAAAGCTGTTTTTTCAAAGCCATAACTTAAAAAAAAATAATCAAACTACAGCCTGCAGCAATCACTGATGGTCATTCAGGTCACCCATTTAACAAGATCCCACTGAACTTTCCACCTTACATCATAAGTTTCTGATCATCAGCAACAGATCCAAACAATGACTCGTGCAGCAGGTGCCAGGCCACATCCTCTACAACAGCTGAGTGGCCAGTAAAGATCGCTTTAGCATCCACAATTTTGCCTTCTTTTGGTCCTGCGTTTATATCCCATAGACAGACAGTCTAAGAGAGAAGCAGAGAAAAAAAAAAGAACAAGGGCTATAAGAGACTATTCCCCCCCACCCTCGAGAGAGTGTCTCAGTCTGTCACCCAGGCTGGAGCACAGTAGTGCGATCTCGGCTCACTGCAGCCTCCGTCTTCCAGGCTCAAGCGATTCTCCTGCCTCAGCCTCCTGAGTAGCTGGGATAACAGGTGCAAGCCACCAGGCCTGGCTCATTTTTTTTGTATTTTCAGTAGAGACGGGGGTCTCGCCATGTTGGCCAGGCTGGTCTTGAAAACTCCTCACCTCAAGTGATCCACCTGCCTTGGCCTCCCGAAGTGCTGGGACTACAGGTGTGAGCCACTGTGCCCGGCCAAGAGATTGAATTTAAATGCTAACATCTTATTTAAAATAATTTCATTACAAACAAGACTATTCAACTATATAAAAGTTTGAGGTAAACACAAGAGAGAAAATATAAGCAAACAGAAGAGTATGTGGGTGCAGCCTCCATGTGAGGTGCAGAGGAAAAGGAAACTCCACTGTAATGAGGGGGAGGGGAGACTGAGTACGGTGGCAGGCAAGGACACTGACGCTGGAGTTTCTACCTACATACATTCGGACACTCAAGTACCCCAAATTCACTTAGTCTACTCTGAGAGGTCAAGGCCTGGGGCCCACAGACAGATCCCCAATGATGTGCTCCTTAAAGCATCAGCAGAGTCCAAGGAGGGGCCATGGGGCCTTGCTTGGGCCTCAACATCCTATCACAGAAAGAATTAAGAGGAAAGTCTTAAGTTTTTAATGAAAAAATATTGCAAGGTATAGGGCAACGATTCTCATTCAATGGTTAATAAGAAATAATCCCATGAAGGTATATTAGCACTACAGTTCCACTGACACTGGTATGGGCTTCATGTTTTGTTTTTTGTTTTTTAAAATTCAGAACACGTGACCATGAAAAGGCTTCATCTCTTTTTATTAAATCACTTTCTTACATGAAAGAGTTTCTTTTCTATTTTTTTTTTTTTGAGACGAAGTCTCGCTCTCTTACCCAGACTGGAATGCAATGGCACAATCTGGGCTCACTGCAACCTCCACCTCCTGGGTTCAAGCAATCCTCCTGCCTCAGCCTCCCGAGTAGATGGGATTACAGGTGTGTGCCACCATGCCAATATTTTTGTATTTTCAGTAGAGACGGAGTTTAACCATGTTGGCCAGGCTGGTCTTATACTCCTGACTTCAGGTGATCCACCCGCCTCGGCCTCCCAAAATGCTGGGATTCCAGGCATGAGCCACTGTGCCCAGCCACATGAAGGACTTTCCGTAACAAAGTTATTTCCCAGTAATGGCTATTTTCCCAGTAACAAAACTTTTTTTTACACAATACATATGCCCTCCAGTCTCTGTTGTTACTTACACATGAAGACACTCAATGTACGTAAACTGAAGAGAAAGGAACATGTGGCGCTGCTGCCATTCACACCAACTCAGAAGGACCTGGCAAGATTAGCATGATACTTGGCATGGGGGGAGCCCCTGGTAAATGTCAGCTATTATTACTACTACCAAATTCCCAGCCTGGTCTCTTCAAAAGGTACTAGTAATTGGGTTAATGAGTACAGTCCACTTTCCCTACTTGGGAAACCATCTCATATACACTTTGAGGGAAGCATCCTTTCAGAAAGCCTGTAATCCCAGCTCTTTGGGAGGCCAAGGAGGGTGGATCACTTGAGCCTGGGAGTTCAAGACCAGTTTGGGCAATATGGCAAAACTCCATCTCTACAAAAAATACAAAAATTTGCTGGGGTGGTGGTGGGCGCCTGTAGTCCCAGCTACTTGAGAGGCTGAGGGAGGTAGCTACTTGAGCTGGAGAGGTGGAGGTAGCAATGAGCCGAGACTGAGCCACTGCGCTTTAGCCTGGGCGACAGAGCAAGACCCTGTCTAAAAAAGTGAAAAGACAACCAACAGAATGGGAGAAAATTTTTGAAAATCAGAGGGACTTATACCTAGAATACATAAGAAACTCTTATAACTTGACAATAAAAAGACAAAATTAAAATATGGGCAAATAATTTAAATACCTATTTCTCCAAAGGAGATATGCAAATGGCAAGTACAAGAAAAGATGCTCATCATTAGTTGTCAGGGAAACGCAAATTAAAACCACAATGAGCCAGGTGTAGTGACTCATGCCTGTAATCCCAGCACTTTGGGAGGCCAAGGCAGGAGGATTGCTTGAGCCCAGGAGTTCAAGACCAGCATGGCCAACATGGTGGAACCCTGTCTCTTACTGAAAGTAAAAAAATTAGCTGGGCTTCATGGCGCATGCCTGTAATCTCAGCTACTTGGGAGGCTAAGGCAGAAGAATTGCTTGGACCCGGGAGGTGGAGGTTGCAGTGAGCTGAGATCGTGCCACTATACTCCAGCCTGGGTGACAGAGACAGACCCCATCTCAAAACAAAAACAAAAACAAACAAAAAAACCCCAGGAGATACCACTTTACGCACACTAGGATAGCTATAATAAAAAAGACAAGCATTGGTGAGGATGTAGAGAAACTGGAACATTTGTACATTGCTTGTGGAAATGTAAAATGGACAGCCACTTTGGAAAATAGTTTGGTAGTTCTTCAAAAAATTAAACAGAGATAGCATATGATCCAGTAATTCCACTCCTAGGTATATATCCAAGAGAAATGAAAACATACATCCACACAAAAACTTGTAAACAAATGTTCATAACATAATTCAAAGTAGCCCAAAAGTAGAAAGAACTCAAATGGTTCATTGACAAATAAGTGAACTGTGGTATATCCATACAGTGGAATATTGTTCATCCATAAAAAGGAATGGAATGTAAGTAATGTTACTTGAGAACATTATGCTAAGTGAAAGAAGCCAAACAGAAAAGGCTACATATATGATTTCATTTATATGAAATATCAAGAACAGATAACTCTATAGAGACAGAAAATAAACTAGTGCTTACCAGGAGCTGGGGGAAGGCAGCGAATGAGTGGGGAGTCACTGCTTAATGGGTATGGAATTTCTCTTTCAGAGAGTGAAAACATTCTAGAATTAGTGGTGATAGTTGTGCACTTTTGTGAATATACTAAAACCCACTGAATTGTACACTTAAAAAATACTTTATATTAATCAGGTCCCACAAACATTCTAGAGTTTCCATTGTAAGGGCCTGGAGGATCATCTTTTAAATAATGGGAGGCCTTTTGCCTATGCTCCCTCCATCCTAAGGCTACTTCAAAAGAACTTTGTGGAATCCGAAGACTCATACAGGGCAGTATGAAAACCATGTCTCTAAGTCCTGGGGGAATGTTACCACAATAATCAGCAGTATTATCTTAGAAAACCTTTCATCTATATAGCACTCCTTCAGTACAGCTGTGACACATCAGCTCTCACTATATGAACAAATTACAAAGACTATGTTTCTCACATGGTCATCAGATGCACTTAGGAGATGTCCACTCAAATTCGAATTCCAGGAGAGACCATAGCCTTCCTTCTGGTGACCTCTTAACCTGAGATCAGGATTACATTCTCCACTTGGGTCTAAGAAAAGATGAAAAAACATTAAGTTGTTCTCTGTTTATCAGAACTGGTGAGAATAAATTCTCACTCCTTCATTGAGTGAGCCATTACAGCAATTGCACATGAACAAGATCTGGTCTGACCCATAACCACTTTAAAAAGCTGTTCTCTTTGCTTCGTTCTTAATACCCAATGCAAATTGAGCCTCATGACCATTAAACGATTGGTTTCTTTGGAAAACCTAATATTATCCCCAACACAAAAATACTAAAAACTATAGCTATCCTATAAATTTGGGCAGTGGTAATCCTATCCCCCCAACTCCCCAATTTTTTAGAAATATTTCTAACACAGCAGGTCTGGTTGCTCAGTCCTTGCATGCCTCTAGGGTAGCCTGCAACCATAAATGACCCTTAGCCAACCCCTGGGAATGTGACCCTCAGAAAGTTCTTCACGTCACTGACTGGTAAAGTTGTGTAAGCCCAGAGCAGTGGGGTATGCCATAGGAACCTGTCAAGACTTGTAGGATTGTTTAGCAAGATTCACAATGTATTTGGCTTCACTATTGGGGTTCTCAATTTTGTTACCACGGCTGGTCACAGAACAGGATGTGCCCATGCCAACAGACCTCCACAAAAATCCCAGATTCTGAAACTCAAATGGGCTGCCCTGGGTAGAGACATTTGGCACATGTTCCTATGGTTTGCTGCTAGAGACAAAGTATGTCCCACGTGACCCTGGATGGGAAGGACTCAGACACCTGTAGCTAACCTCTCTGGACTTCCCCTGATGTATATCTTTTTCTTCCTACTTTTGCTCTGGATCCTTTGCTGTAATAAACTTTAGCTGTTAGTATAAGTTGCTTTTAGGTAGTTCTGGCAAATCCCTGAACTTGTGTATGGTTATGGGACCCCCCCTAAGCAATTTTTAAACCTTTAAATATTATAAAGTATGCTACTTTGACTTAAAAACATTACCAGTTTGAATCAAGAAAACTGCTCAAGTAATGACCTGACTTTATTATTACATACCTGGTTTAGCAGGGTGTTTTGTATAGTCAAAAACCAACACATCAGAAGATGGTGTTTTTGTAGCAATGATGTGAGGATTCTGCGGCATGTAACGAGCACGGTTTACTTCTCCTTCATGATTGATTTTAATTTCACATTCAATTTTTCCTGTTACAGAACCAAAGCCACCAAATTCTGATGTGAGGAGAAAGAAACACACACACACTCAGGATTAAAATTCACAAATTACTTAGTTCAATCAACCCAACAGATTTTGACCTGGCAGAATACAACACAAATTGACAAGCCAAAGACAGAGACATGCATAGAGAAAATCCACAAATGTGGGTTCATTTGCCACATCAATTTATTCTTAATTTGCACTGGAAAACATTGGTAGCTGCCTTATGCAACTTAATTCAGTTCCACCTTGGATCTAAAACAACTGTCCTCTTTCAGTTATGAAGATGATACAGTTATTCACTGAAATTTCAAATAACCATATAATAAGCAGACCAACAGCTTTTTAGTTCAAATACAACTCATTGGAAGTGCTGCACTGATTTAGCATCTTATTTTAGGATTCATAAAAACAGGAAAAGTTTTAACCCTCAGGAGTATGAACACCCTTTGAGTCTAAAGTCAGAAGCATCCTCAAATCAGTGTGAAACCCATGCTAATCCCTACCTGTCCCTAAACACACATACGTTGGCCCTGCTAGCATCCTTGGTTTAACTGCTAGTGCAATGCCAAGGTTAACCTCTCCGCCCATCTGGTGTGTGAATAAGACTGTAGTATTAAATAATCATGAAAAAGGCCTTGTAAAGTAACAAAGCCATATAAAAAGCACAGTAACTTCCAAGAAGTAGCAACATATTAGCAGAAAGAATACAAATAGAGAATATCTAAGCAAATACAACAAACAAGAACATTCTTTTTTGTGCTCATAGATAAAAAACTTGAATTAGTTGCTGAAGCTTAAAAAAATAGGAGAGTTCACACTACAATTGTGTTATTCTTCCTGACCTATATTGCCTTTTCTTTGCACATTCCATTTTAGCTCACCCTATGTCTCAGGTCAGGGACAACTAACACAAATGCCTACTGGAGCCAGGCTGGTAAGAAGTAAAATAGACCGGGGCCTGGAGCAACCACCAAAAGGAGCAAACCATTTCTCAGTTCCAGGCAGCTCCTTCTATGTGGAATGCTTAATGAACACTGGCTTCCATGTCTTAATATTAGTATCTAGCTGTTCTCTCTGAAGCAAACATAGCTTACTATTGCAGTGCGGCTGAAAAAACCGTATCTCAAATCCATGATTACTTCAAAGCTCCTCTACCCACTACTCTCACGTGACAACATGCAAAAGGATCCTTTTTCCTCGTAGCACCTTCTGTTCCATGGTGTCAATGAAAGAAGTGTGCCTCAGCATGCTAAGACCCCTCCTGATCCAATAGTCTCCTGCCTCCTGAGACTGGTCCAAACATGCTTCACTTTGACCTTCAACATCCCATTGCATGGACTCCAGTGGCTCTAACCCTTCTGCTACAAAGATACTCAAGTTTCCTGATTCCTTTAGCTAAAACAACCTGAAGAGCTCTCCAAAAAAAGTGGGGGGAAGGGGCGCTTCCAAGTAGGATTTACTTTGAACACAGGAGTTTTGTTTTCTCAAACTTAAAATTTTGAAGTCACTGTCTTAATGATCACATCCATTAAAAAATATAACTGAATATTGGCCAGGCACAGTGGCTCACACCTGTAATCCCAGCACTTTGGGAGGCTGAGGCGGGCGGATTACGAGGTCAGGAGATCAAGACCATCCTGGCTAACAATGTGAAACCTTGTCCCTAACTAAAAATACAAAAAGTTAGTTGGCTGTGGTGGCGGGCGCCTGTAGTCCCAGCTACTTGGGAAATCACTTGAACCCAGGAAGCAGAGGTTGCAGTGAGCCGAGATCACACCACTGCACTCCAGCCTGGGTGAAAGAGCAAGACTTTGTCTCAAAAAAAAAAAAAAAAAAAAAAAATCACACACATATAAACGTAAACTGAATATTAACAAAGGCATTAAATTATTTCAGCTACTTGTTAGAATACATTGGATGTGTAACTTTAAGACTTTAACAGTATATTAATATCGTTATGCAGAGACTGTTAAACTGCAAGCCCAGTAAATACATACTTCAGGGCTAAAAGCCATTTAAAAATTTCTGATTACAATACCTTCAGGCCGGGAGTGGTGGCTCATGCCTGTAATTCCAGCACTTTGGGAAGTTTAGGCAGGCGAATCACTTGAGGCCAGGAGTTTGAGACCAGCCTGGCCAACATGACAAAACTCAGTCTCTACTAAAAATACAAAAATTAGCTGGGCGTGTTGGTGGGCGCCTGTAATCCTGGCTACTCTCGAGGCTGAGGCATGAGAATCACTTGAACCCCAGAGGTGGAGGTTGTAGTGAGCCGAGATCGCACCACTGCACTCCAGCCTGGGCGACAGAGCGAGACCCTGCCTCATAACAAACAAAAGCAAAACACAAAAAACTCCCAATATTTAAAGAAAGAATGCATACAGTTGTCGGGGAATGAACGATAAATTGTGGGAGGGGTAAACTGGGTGAATCACTTTGGAGAACAGTTTTCTATGAAGTTGACAATGAATACACCATACAATCCAGCAGTTTCACTACACTAGAGAATGTAGTATTTTTGAGACAGGATCTTGCTCTGTTGTTCAGGGTGGAGTGCAGTGGTGTGATCCTAGCTCACTACAGCTTCGAACTCCTGGGCTCAAGAGATCCTCAGCCTCCCAAGTAGCTAGGACTATAGGCATGCGCCACCACACATGGCTAGTTTTTAATCTATTTTTTGATAGAGACAATGTCTCAGTGTGTGCCCTGAGTGGTCTTAAACTCCTGGGCTCAAGTGTTCCTCCTGCCTTGGCCTCCCAAAGTGTTGGGACTATGGGTGTGAGCCACTGTGCCTGGCCAGTATTTTATTTTCAATAAAAAAAAAAAACCCTAAGGCACGTATTAGAAAATGCTAACGGCATTAAGCTATTTGGGACTGTGAAGAGAGAGTTAATATAGCAGTCTGGGTGCTTAGCCCTGGAGTCTCTGAGGAACACTGGGACCCCATTACTGACCCTTGGCAAGCTCCTGGGAACATGCACCTCAGAATGTTCTTTCTGTCACTGATGAACTGATGATTTTGTGGTGTGCACCTGGAGCAATGGACCGCGTTGTACCAGTTTGTCAGGTTTACTTTGCAGATATCAAGATTGATGATACATACCTTCTTTTATTACTGGGTCCTCAGTTTGTATTACTGGGGTCCTCAAGTTTCAGTCGCCGTGGCTGGCTGTCAGCAGGATGTGCCTATGTAACTAGTCCCCCAAGAAAACCTCAGACCCCAAGACCCAAACAGGCTTCCCTGAGCAGAGATATTTCACACATGTCCCTGCAGTTTGCTGCCAGAGAGAAAGCACATTCTGTGTGGCCTTGGACAAGACTTGTGCCAGACCTCCCTGAGCTTGCCGATGTACATCTTTTTCCTGCTGCTTTTGTTTTGTGTTCTTTACTGTAACAAACTTTAGCCACAAGTATAATTTGCTCTTGGGAGTCCTAGCGAAATCACCAAACTTGGGGTGGTCATGGGAATACCAAAAACAGGAGAGTATGTGTTTGACTAAATTAAAAAAAGAAAAAAAAAAACCAAGAGATTCCTAAATTAACCCTACCACTACTGCCACTCTCCTCAAACAAAAAAATACCCACTGCACACACCAACACATATTACTTCTACCAAAGAGGAATATCTTAATTACACATAGCAGTTATTCACTTAATTTATCTTGGATACCTTCCTATAACAGTGTGTACAGATTTTTCTAATTAAAAAAAAATTTTTTTTTGAAATTTTGGTAGAAACGAGGTCTGTGTTTTTCAGACTGGGCTTGAACTCCTGAGCTCAAGCAATCCTCCCACCTCGGCCTCCCCAAGTGCTGGGATTATAGGTGTGAGTCACGGCACCTGGCCTTTCTTTCTTCTTAATTGCTGAGTAGTATTTCAAACATACCATGTGCTTAACCAACTTTCTATGAACCAACATCTGGGTTACAAGGTTGATCCTAATTTTTCAATTCTGCAATTATGGCTAAAATCCTTGCGCACATGTAGGTGAGTAGTTCTGTAGGATAAAGTCCTAGAAGTTAAATTACTGGGCCAACAGCTAATAGTATAGTTTTAATAGCATATGCTTTGAAAGAGGCATTTTCCCTTTGACATCAATATTGGAATATATGATATACCTACCACCCTTGTCACTGTCACAATGGGAAGCATCAAACTGTGCATCATCATTGGGAATATGTACTCGAGCAACCACCAGATGATTCTGTTCATCAGACGTATGAGTCCCCAGCACTAGCCAATGAAGGGCATAATCTTTTCCTTCCGGTCTGTTTAAGAAAGAAAATAAGTCACACTGATCTGACAAGAAATCTCCAGTTGCTAACAAATTCAGTCTAGTTCCCTCAAAATACATTCAAATTTCTTTAGCAAATATATGCTTAGCATCAATTGTGTATCTTCTCCCCCTCTGGTTACCAACTTTACAATCCCCACATATGCAAATATAAGAAAATATTCTAGCTACAATATGCAGAGGGCTTGCTTCTTTCTCAAAGACTCATCTTCCTGTGCCTCAATTATCAATGTGAACACTACCTTTTATAGAGCAGCACTCTGGGGAAGGCAGGCCCAACTCAGTATAACACAGACAAACATCTACACAGGAATCCACCAACAATCCCCACACTCATAAATCACAACTTCCCACCTAAAGAAATCATCTTCCCACCTAAAAATATCTTACACACTAGATGTTTCCTATTTCCCAATAAGAAATTCTACAAGATAGTATGGACAGAAAGTACTGAATCAAAAAAACAGCTTAAATCCTGGATCAAACTAAAATGCAATTGCTTAAAACACAACCTCCCTGGGGCCTCAGTTTCTTCACTGAATAAAACAGGCTATAAGTGCAAATGGCATGATGTGAACTCCTTGACGTTTATGATACCTAAGTTTATGAAACGAACATTCTCAATTTTACTGAGGCATCTTTGTTACCTTGTTCTGTGGAAACTCACCTTGAGGCTGAAGAACTTGCCCAAACCTCTTGGCACCTTGGTCCAAGCAGTGATTTTTGCATCAGTATCTATCAAAAAGGCTTCCCCATTTGTATTATCTAGAACACAATTTTCAACTGTGCTCCATGGTCCCACTTCAATGAAGAGGACTGAGAAGTAGGGCTCTAGGCCCCAACACAAGACAAGTTAGGCCATTTATTTATCTGTTTCTAAATTTCAGCTGCACGAAGGACTCAATGTTTTTTTTGTTTTTTGTTTTTTTCCCTAAAAAGATTGAAGGTTACTTCTAGGCAAGTAATTTAGTAATAACTTAAGAAAATACAAGGCCGGGCGCGGTGGCTCAGGCCTGTAATCCAGCACTTTGGGAGGCTGAAGCGGGCGGATCACGAGGTCAGGAGACTGAAACCATCCTGGCTAACACAATGAAACCCCGTCTCTACTAAAATACAAAAAATTAGCCAGGTGTGGTGGTGGGCACCTGTAGTCCCAGCTACTTGGGAGGCTGAGGCGGGAGAATGGAGTGAACCTGCGAGGCGGAGCTTGCAGTGAGCTGAGATCGTTCCACTGCACTCCAGCCTAGGCGACAGAGCGAGACTCCATCTCAAAAGAAAAAAAAAAAAAGAAAATACAAGATGCAAATTTACCAAGATTTGGCTTACAGTAAGAAAGTGCGTGCACAGACACACACACACACACACACACTCCCCCAAGAAGAAAGTAAGGCAGCCATGACTAAGCAATAGCAACGTGTTTGAAAAAAAGACACCTGGGCGCGGTGGCTCATGCTTGTAATCCCAGCACTTTGGGAGGCCAAGGCAGGCGGATCACCTGAGGTTGGGAGTTTGAGACCAACCTGTCCAACATGGAGAAATCCCGTCTCTACTAAAACTACAAAATTAGCCAGGCATGGTGGCACATGCCTGTAATCCCAGCTACTCAGGAGGCTGAGGCAGGAGGATCACTTTAACCTGGGAGGCGGAGGTTGCAGTGGGCCAAGATCACACCATTGCACTCCAGCCTGAGCAACAAGAGTGAAACTCAGTCTCAAAAAAAAAAAAAAAAAAAAAAAAAAGACGACAACGACGACATGGGTCTTGATTGATACATGCACAGTGGGCCAACAATATGATGTGGCTACCAAAAAAGTAATTAATTCCATCTTAGGTGGTCTTTATATGCGTGTAGGGGGCAATGCACATGAGCCCATGTGCCCCCGCCCCCACTTTTTTTTTTTTTTTTTTTTTTAAGAGACAAGGTCTCCCTATGTTGCCTAGGCTGGTCTCCAACTCTTGGGCTCAAATTGATCCTCCTGCATCAACCTCTTCAGTAGCTGGGACTACAGATGTGTGCCACCATATCTGGCTTGCCCACTTATTTTTAACCAGTAAAACCAACATACTTTATGAGGACTTGGACAGAAATCAAACCTTTACAGGGAATAGTGGCTTAAAATGAAAGGGTAAGCCAGGTACAGTGCTGTGCACCCACAGTACCAGCTACTAGGGAGGACTGCTTAAGCCTAGGAGTTCATGTCCAGTCTGGGCAACATAGCAAGACCCTGTCAAAAAAAAAAAAAAAAAAAGAAAGAAGAAATATTTGGCCACATGCGGTGGCTCATGCCTCTAATCCCAGCACTTAGAGAGGCCAAGGCAGGCGGATCACTTGAGCCCAGGAGTTCGAGACCAGCCTGGGCAACATGGCAAAATCCCATCTCCACCAAAAAAAAAAAACAAAACAGTAAATATTTAAAAAGAGAAATAAGAATGCTTGAGAGAAAGAAGGCACCACAAAGCAATGCCGGGACTGACATCAAAGGAAAAAAGTGACTTGTTTTTTGTGGAGTTACGCAAGAAAACTGAGACTCATAGGTAAAAAATTACAGGTAGACAGGTCAGTTTATCATAGGCCCTTTCTAATGAACACTGTCCCAAGATGGACTGGAGGAGCTTAAAAATCCCTCTGGACTCAAATTTAATTATTCCAGTTTTCCCCAACTTGATCATCATATGAGGACTTTTCTTTTTACTAGAAATCCTTTCACCTCCATCACTAAAACACAGCCTGTTTTCCTAAACTAATCAATATGACACTATTTTCCTCCAATACTGGATGTACTTAAAGGCTGCAGAAGCACTAATGGTTAAGAGAGTCTATTCATTTTCAGTGCAGAATCCTCTGACCCCAGTAACTACCACTAGGAAATTTAGCCAAGCATCACATAAATATGGCCTATTACAAGATTATTCTCAGCAGTATTGTTTATAGCAGCAAAAAGACTGAAAATAACTAAACATCCATCAGTAACGAACTGGTATCATATATTACACAGTGTATCTATAAACAAAATTCTATGGCACCCTTGAAAAGAACAAGCATATCTAAGCATGCTGACAGGAAAATCTCCAATATATACTCTTACTGACAAACTCAAGTGAAGAACTTGCTACCATAAAAAATGATGAAGATACAGGTATGCATTTCTACGCGCTGGCAAGGATGGGTTAGGAAATTGAAAACAATGACTGGGGAAAGGAAGTAGGACAGTAAGGGATGTGGAAAGGGGACTTATTCACTCTATATCCTTTTGTACTTCCTGAATTTGAAAAACTACAAAGCTTTTTAGGTAGACAATAACTTAGTCTCAATATATTTAAAACATTATTCAACAAGAGATATGAAATAACTACCTAATTTAAAAAAAAAAAACAATTTCTTAGAGATATCTAAATAAAACCTTTTAAAAGTCAAATCAACAATTGTAATCCCAGCATTCTGGGAGGCTGAGGTGGGTAGATCACGAGGTCAGGAGTTTGAGACCAGCCTGACCAACATGGTGAAACCCTGTCTTTACTAAAAATACAAAAATTAGCTGGGTGTGGTGGTACACACCTGTAATCCCAGCTGCTCAGGAGGTTGAGGCAGGAGAAACGCTTGAACCTGGGAGGTGGAGGGCGCAGTGAGCCAAGATAGTGCCACTGCACTCCAGCCTGGGAGACAGAGTCTTGCTCTGTCTCCAAAAAAAAAAAAAAGCAAGCCAAATCAATTATTTGGACAATTACCGAACTCAACTGAAGGACAATAGCTCAGAAAGTCCAAGTAATCGTTATGAAGCATGTTGTAAGTCAGCAGAAGAAAGGCTTATGAGGTGGAGCAGGGTCTTGTTCCTCAGAGTCAGACACTGAGGAACAGTCAACATTTTTACTGTTCTGTATGGTGATAAAACACAGTCCCTTTATACCTCTAACTGAACCCTGCAAAGCACCACACAGCAATCCTCAACATCCAAGAATGCAGGCTGCTTGGCATTTTCTTACATTCTCTAAGGCACTGCACGTCCCACAACTCAATCCCACAACAGCTTTGTATACAAAGAACACCATGATACATATTAAATAATTTAATTAAAGCATTTTCTATTACATTCCTAAGTATTACATATTATAGGTAACATTTAAAAAAAAAAAACTTCAGCAAGTAGCTTCCATTGAAATCCAAATGAAGAAACACAGAGCTATTTCAATCCTGACAAATTATTTCTGAACAGGAAGGGGTGGGAGAATCAGCATCAGTCACCACTTACTGTGTACTTATGCTGCACCAGGCACTTTAACATGCATGATCTCATTTAATTCCCTCAAATGTAGGTAGTCAGTACGACCATCATCTCCATTTACAGCCCAGACAACACGGCCCCAGTTCACAAAGCTAAGAAGAAGCAGGGGCATGATTCTAACCCAGGTCTCTTAAGTTTAAAGTCCCTGCTGTTTTCCATTATGTTACAGTGGGTCAAAAAGATCCCCAAAAAGGTAAGTTAATACATTTTAAATCTGCTTAACAGACCAAAGAGGCAAACGCACACAGTGCTCAAACCAGAACTTGAATACCCCTGGACATATGATGCTTAGTCTAGTTTTCAATCTGTTCAAAGGTGACTGTAAACGTCAATGCTTCCAAGTGTCCATCACTTAGTTCTTCTCTACTCTTCCCACATCTGTACATTTACATATAGATTTTTGGGAAGCCCAGTGGAAATTCCTATCTGTATGGAAATCAATGTTTGCATATGGAGAACCTAGCCACTGTAAGAGCAGTTTTATATACAATTAGATTATTATTGTAATTATTATCTTTATTTTTAAGAAATAGAGTCTCGCTCTCGCTCAGGCCAGAGTGCAGTAGTGCAATCTTGGCTCACTGCAACCTCCACCTCCCAGGTTCAAGCAATTCTTCTGCCTCAGCCTCCCTGTAGCCTGTAGCTGAGACTACAGGCACACGCTGCCACGCCCGGCTAATTTTTTTTTTTGTATTTTAGTAGAGACAGGGTTTCACCGTGTTGCCTGGGCTGGTTTCGAACTCCTGAGCTCAGGCAATCCACCTGCCTCGGCCTCCCAAAGTGCTAAGATTACAGGCGTGAGCCACCACGCCCAGCCAAAATTAGCTTATTATTTTTATAACTTGTTGCAAAATCCTCTTTTTAGGTTAGAGTTTCATTTAATCCTCTTTAAATTATATGCCCACAACACCCAAATTTAAGATGCTTTTTTGTTGTTTCTTTGGAAGACAGGGTCTCACTCTGTTGGCTAAGCTGGAATGCAGTGGCGCAATCATGGCTCACTGCAGCCTTGAACTCCTGAGCTCAAGCTAACCTTCCAAAGCGCTAGGATTACAGGAGTATAAGCCACTGTGCCTGGCCCCATATTTAATACACTTTAAAAGTACATGGTCAAGTTCCCACTAGAAAAGGTTCCAGTGAATGAGAAAGGCAGACTAACGCAGGGACCAGCTGTGTGATCTTGGGATGGCACTTAAACGCTCACTCCCAGTTCCCCTATCAGTAAAACAAGGATAATGAAAATTACCTACAGCATAGTACTACTGTGAGGATTACAACAACAAGACGTAGATTCTTCAGATGTGCCATGCCCTGTTCTGAGTGCTCAATAAATGCCAGCAATTATTACCAGAGAAACCGTAGATCTAACAGAAAAGAATACTCTTATGAAGACTAACGGCAATCTCAAAGTGTATTCCATAAGCCGATAACATCTTTTCTTTGGTCAATTGCTGACAAGGTCTTTTTGCCTTTACCAATTAAAATGTATTTACCTTGGGTGACTGTTACGTGTGTTCACTTTGCAAAAATTTATGAAGCCATACAACACTTAAGATGTGTGAACTTTTCTGTAAATATTCTCTTTTTCAATAAAGTTTTAAAGAAACGCATTAGTTTGGGCCCAGAGAGATGCTGTTCTACATTCGAGCCCAGGAACTGTCAAATATATTCAGTGTTTCCTCCAAATACCATTAATCTCACAACGGATTCTTTCTCCCCTTTTACCACCACACTATACGCCAGAAATCACGTTAAGTTTTGAAAATAAAAACCACCTGCCACCCCATGCAAGGGCTGATTACATACTTATGTTCTAGGTATAAAACGCCAAAACTAGGAAATTCAGAACGACAGTTAAATTTAAGCAAAAAAAAAAAAAAAAAAAAAAAAGTTGCCAGAAACCCTTACTTAGTCACTTCAGGAAGCCACTGAACGGTAAGACTGGGCCACTGAAGAGCATGGGTCATAACCAGGTCATACAGAAACGGTGTATTCTTCTTCCAGATTTTATATTCTTCATTGATGACACGCTCCTCCACAGTATCTTCAAACACTGAAATTTGGAGAAAGCCCACACAATTAAGTGGCTGAGATGGATCGAAGTCAGAAATTGGAGGTCACCTCAAGATGGCCACACCTCATGTACTCTTTCCTTTTACCTCTAATTTGGACACGGACAACTAACTGCTCTTACAGAAGGTGAAGAAAATACTACCAACCAGGAAGCCTCTTTTTTTCCGTTGAGATCAATACCCTCTGCGTATACCATGTTGGGTAGTCAATTACACGGACATGGAAATTGTTTACCCTGTTACAGCTGTTCGCACCTGTTCTAAGATGACGACCTGTACGTACAGGGGCTGCGCGACCCACTCGGGAAGACAAATGCACGTGTACCAGAAGCCCACAGGCCTGGTCCCTCCAATCCCCATCAGGGGAGGCCCCAGCTCCCACGACACCCGCCTCGGCAGCCATAGGCCTGAGGGCTCCAGCAACCCCCGGACAAGGGCCGCGACCCCGAGGCGGTCAACGCGCGCGCGTAGGAGCCGCGGCGCTCGCTTCCCGGCGGCGGCGACCGCCTCCGCCCCGGGGCCGAGGGCGCCGGAGTGAGCGCAGCCGCTGGAGGAGGGAAGAGAAGAGGGGGGCCCAGCCCTCGGCCCCGCGCCTGGCTCCGGAAGTGCTCGGAGCCCTCGGCACGGCGGTCCCGTCCCGCGCAGGCCCCACGAGGCGCGCGCCCAGCCTCGCGCCCGGCCCCGCCCCCTGCTCCGCACGCCAATTCGCGCCTTTCGCCGGCGCGTGCCGCGGCCTCGCGCGCCCGCCGCCCCCCGCGGCCCCGGCGCGCGCCGCCCCGCAGGGCCTCTTACTCTCTTTACTCGCCATCTTGCGTCGGGTCGTTCGCCCCTCGCCGCCGCCTCGGACTCCCCTCGTTAGCCAAGAGCAGCCCGACCACTGGCGCTCCTGCCTTTCCCAAACGCGTCACACACTCCCCGCGGTCGAAAGCCCGGGCCCAGTCTTGCTGCCTGGGTGCTCCCCAGACGCCGCGTCCTTGTTTCCTGCCTCCTCCCCGCTCGCGGGTACCGAGGTCTGAGGCGCTCTTCTCTCTCTCTCCAAACTTGGAACGAGACTTTTCAACCCGCGCCTCCCAGCCCGCCCAGGCAGCTAAGCGCAGGCGCATCCGCCCTGGGAAAAGTGAGAGGAGGCGGAGAGGCGGGTCTGGGAGCCAACGGCTCCAGCGCCGCGACCAATGACGCGCGGCGGGCGGGTTTCACGCGGCGTTCGGAGGCGGGCTTCTGGGGGTGGGCGGAGCGTGCCGCGGCAGGAAGTTGGCGATGCGCAGGCGCGAGGGCTCGCCCGGCGCTCCCAGGGCCGGCCGCGGGGGCGGATGGGGGCGCGCGGGGGCGGGGCGGATGAGGGCCTGAGGGGGCGGGGCGGATGGGGGCGCGCGAGGGTGGGGTGGATGGGGGCGCGGCTGGCCGGCTGAGCGGGGGCCGCGAGCCTCGGGGCGGCTAGCCTTGGGGCCCGTGGGGCGTGGTTGCTTGTAGCGGCAGCGGTGGTGGGGGTGAGAGGGGGGCAGGGAGGCTGCTGCCGCTTAGCCAAGCAAAATCTCAGAGCAAGAGGGGAAAATGGTTCCTGTTCTCGAGAGATTACTGTGCCTTCAAAGTCTCCCTGATAATCACGGACATGCAATTCTCTGCACCCCTGAAATGTTCTCCTCCAGCCGACTGGCCTTTCCTGGGGCCCGGTCGGGCCGAGGCGGGGCTGGTCTCAGAGGGAGGAGAGCTTTTGGAGAGGCCGCGGGCGTTTTCTGCCGGCAAAAGCCGCCGGGCCGCCTTGTTAGGCTAAACGTGCAGCCTGTAGAGGCACAGGCCGCCGGCGGGCCCAAACTGATTTACATTGTTACATTTTAATTTGTCTTAAGATGATGGTTTGAGGCCTCTTCGTGCTTCAGGGGATTTTGTTCCTGCACTGGCGTTCCTTTCGCATCCCAGCCCCGGCCCCTGCTGAGTCATTTTTGTCACCTGCAGGGGTCCCAGGGCGACCCCACCCCAAGCTGGCCGTAGCTGGAGAGAGCAGGGCTGAACTGCCCTGGGCCTGCTTACCTGAGCCCTGCTCTGCTCGGGAACTTCGTAGCCCCTGGGGAGTGTATCGGGGGAGGAGAAAACTGGCTGCAAGGCCAAAAGGGGAATAGAAGAAAATGAGGGCCGGGAGCAGAGGGGACGGAGTTGGGGGAGGCGACCAAGGTGCCTGCGTGCAAAGGGAACCGAAGTGTACGTCCAGCTCCGAGAGAGGCTCCTCTTGCAAAAGCACCCCCGGAACATTTGCTGCCTTGATACCTTTCCAAGTGCCTTCATGCTCAGATGCTATCTTGCAGATGCCGCTGTCATGCCCACTTTTCTGACCGGGACGCAAACCCAGACGTTAGTCGGTAGCAGAACCAGTCACACATTCCCTTCTGTAGATATTTACTGTCTTGTTTCCGATACAATACAGTTCATTATTATAACGCCCTCCCCCTATGCCGGGTCAAAGAATCTTGTTAGTGCCTAAGGCTGAGGGGGTGGCTGGAGAGGGAAAAGAGTTGGAAGGGTGTTTAAGCAATACAGCCCTCATATTCTAGGACGCTGGTTGGCAAGACTTTTTCTAAAAGGACCGAGATAGTAAATATTTTAGGCTTCGGGGGCAACTGCTCGACTCTGTCGCGTTGTAGCGCAAAGCAGCCGTGGAAAATGTGGATACATTTGGCCGTGTTCCAGTAAAACTACAGACACTGAAATCGTTTTCAGGGTCACAAAATCTTTTTTTCAACCGCTTGAAAACGGAAAAACCATTCTCAGCTCGAGGGCCATACAAAAACATGTGGTGGGTTAGATTTAGTCGGAGGACTGTAGTTTGCCCACCTTGTTCTAGAATAATTGTACCTTATGGCTCTGCTTCAAAGAGAACCTCGTGTGCAAAACAAGAGGCGGCTTGGGAGATGATTTGTATCCCTTTAATACAGTGTACTGATTTCTGATAAGTAGGCATGATTTCCAAAACCTATTAAAAGAAATGTTTGAAGGACTGAAAGAAAAGAAATCTTCCCAGACGACGTGGCTTTAAAATCTTGATACTGTTGGCCTCAGTGAGGGTCAGAGAAGGAAATACGGAACAAATATTTTGGGAGTTTCTGAGAATATTCACATGCTATCATGCATTTAATCTGAAGGTATCATGTGCAGCATATTTCATTGGTTTTGCATTTTTGTTGTTGTTAAATTGAATCTGTCAATTATATTTAAATTTTTTTTGGCCTTTTTTCCATCAACTACTTTTTTGAATTAAAAAAAAGTGATGTTTTCTCTCTTGTATTGCTTATCTGTTGGGTTTGCCTTTCTCCCCAACCTGGGCTCTGGTCCTAATCTTTTCTGGCACTTTTCTGGGGTTGTTCTTTTTGTCTCTTCTGTGCTCAGCTAATAGAGTAAGGCACAAACAGGTGCACACACACAAGAAAGGGATGAATTTTATTTCATTTTTTCAAAAATGCAGATTCTAAATGGACTTCATGATTGAGCTTAGTCACAACTTGAAGTTTGAAAAACACTTACACTATGATTTTTAAAATTTCTCTTTCCTTTTTCTTTTATTTTCTTTTTCTTTTTTCTTTTTTTTTGTTTTTTTGAAAGAGGCTCTCATTCTGTCACCCAGGCTGGAGTGCAGTGGCACGATCACAGCTCACTGCAGCCTCAACCTCCTGGGCTCAGGCGAACCTCAAACCTCAGCCTCCCGAGTAGCTAGGACCACAGGCACAGGCCACCATTCCCAGATTTTGTTTTGTTTTGTTTTGTTTTGTTTTTAGTAGAGACAGGGTTTCACCGTGTTGCCCAGGCTGCTCTTGAACTCCTGAGCTCAAGGATCTGCCCACCTTGGCCTCTCAAAGTGCTGGGATTACAGGCATGAGCCACCATGCTGGGCCTAGTGTTTAAACCTTTAGCTGTTCCCGACTACCCTTTATAAAATAGCAACATGCCCCCATCCACCCCCACAGGTAATCACCTTCTATTCCCTTTACTCTATTTTCTGTTTTTTCACAGTGCTTATCGCTTATCGCCATCTGACAGATGTTGGTCCACAGGCTTTTTCTTGCACACTAGAATGTAAATTAGAGGGTAGGATTCTTGTTTTGTTGCACCCTTAGCACCTGGACCTGTGCTTACCAGATGAGGAAGCTGAGCCAGAGTGGTGAGGTTTCTTGCCAAGGTGCCATAGCTAGTGAGTGCTGGAGTTGGAATTTGAATTTAATCAGTCTTATATTAAGACAGCAAAAGTGATCCTATGGATAGAACAAACTATTTACTAAAAGGAATCAGAGACATAATACCCAGACATACCTGCAGAGTGATTCCATGTTCATTAGCAACTATGGTTCACTAGGTTGGGGGCAAAAAAGTTTTAGCCATTCAAAAAAAGTTTTTGAAGTACCTACTGTGAGCCAAACAGTGTTCTGGAAACTGCAGCTAGCTGGATGAACAAGACATACAGAGATCCTGCTCTTTTATACTCTCCTTTATTGTTTGTTTTCTTATTACAAAAACAAAGCTTGTTACAGAAAGATCTGAAAATTATACAAGCAAAAGAGGAGCATAACGAATACCAATTTTGTTTCTAGCCAAATTGTTTTCATCCAGTCATTATTAGGAGCAGAAGAAAATACACTAAGATATTAATAGCCGTTGTCTCTTGATACTAGTATATTGTTATTTTATTCTTCATATATTGCCCTATTTTAGCATTTTTTCCACTGGACGCATAATGCTCATATCAATAGAAAAAATGCATGCATTTTGGAAAAAAAGTCGGAGTAATACAAATGAAGAGTTGTCTTAATGTGATAAAATTCTAAGTAATTTAAAATATTGTTTAATGCAATTGTGTGAGAGGGAGTTGAAGGAAAATTATTATAATAGAAAACACACTGTTCTTTGAACTTGTACTTTGTTTGCATTGACTATTGTGCTATTTTATTAGGTAAAGTGAAGTGACTGTTTTATACTTACGAATGTGTTAATATGTAACCTTTGTGGGGTGTCCCTCTGGACTTCTAAAAGACCAACCTACCCTGTTGCTAGCTGTTGAGGCTCAGCCACTTGAGCTCTGCATTGGGGACAGTGAATAAAGGAAATGACCTAGACCAGAATCACTGAGGCTTAGGCTTAGAATCACTGGGGCGTGGTAAATAAATATTTGTCAAACGAAAAATAATGAACAAGAAACTCCTCTTAGGCTTGTCCCAATCCATAAGCATCAATGAGAAAGCTTCGCATGTAAACCTTTTTTTAATTTTATTTTTAATGGACATCACAATCATATAAATGTATGGGGTACAATGTGATGTTTTGATATATGTTTACATTGTGAGATGATTAAATCAAGCTAATTAACAAATTCATCACCTCTCATAGTTAACATTTTTTTTGTGGTGAAAGCATTTAAAATATATCTTTCAGCAATTTTGAAATATTTAACACATTTCTATTTATTATAGTCACCATTCTGTAGAATAGATCACTAAAGCTTATTTCTCCTAACTGTAGAATCTTCTTGTAGACATATAGCCCTGAGTGTTTCACTCCAAGCACAATGTTCTTTTATTCAAAGTTTTCATATACAATGCATTCTTATTTACCGCTGAAGACCTCTTCTGAAATTCATTGTAGTGTACGTTTGTTGTAATTTCTGGCCACCATCCGTTTTTCCTTCTCCAGGAAACAGCATGCTGGATTTCTTTTGAGTGAACTACTCTTCCTTAATCCATTACATTTTGGGAGGACTGTCCATCAGGATGTCCAACTCTCCACCAGCTAAAAGGTAGGGCGCCCGACCCCAGTGGGCAACACCCTTCTTGGAATGTGAATTCTATAGATTCATGCTGGTGAAACACCTGGAGGTGCAAGTCCATTGATTCCTGCTTCCTGGATCTCTGGAATGGCTCTGGTTCCTACCCTTTCCAAGTTGGCTCCTTTGATTCTGTGAGCTCCTACGTAGCTTTTCAATTAGCAATAATCGCGCCTCAGATAAACCTCATTGGCTATGATACTGCCACTGCACAAAGCTCCTATGTAGCTTTTATGGATTTCCTTTTTGCTTAAGTTAGCCTGTGTCCATTTGTTGCCTACCATCAAAGAAATCTGGTATTTGCACAAACCTACCCCCTTCTCTCTCCAAGTTCTGAATTTAACCACAGATTATCCTGAATAAGGAACATGACCTTTGTAGCTGGAGAGGACACAGACA